GGGGGGGGGGGGGGGGGGGGGGGGGGGGGGTCACGTTTTCCATCACATGGCGTGGTGTGAAATAGATGCAGTTACTTAAAGCGATGAAGTGCCGGGCACTCTGAAGTGGAGGCGTGAGGAAGAATGGTCCGATTGTTCGCTTGCGACTTGCGTTTCGTGTAAACAAATTGTTATTCAAGGCCGTGCAAGTAAACAGTGCTTCATTTGTTAAAGCGTCAAACGTAGACGGGTGGCGGTATGCCAGACGCTGCCATCGCGGAGATGGTGTTCGTGTTTGGAGCACGGCTGTGGGGGATATGTACTGGGGCTGGGGCAAAGGCCAATCCTACTGTATAGGGCAGGGGTCACCAACGTGGTGCCCGCGGGCACCAGGATGGCCCCAAGGGCCACATGAGTCGCCCACGGACCTGTTCTAAAAATGGCACAACTCACCAGTGAGCAACGTCCAAAATGTAATTTTATCCTGTTGCTATTGTTCTATAATCACATTTGCATTTATATAGATTTGAATCTATAAAAAAAAGCATTTAAAACATGTTTATTATACATGAAGTTTAGATAAGTTTAGGAGGGCGTTTCAAACTGGTAGCCCTTCGTATGGCTCAGTACCCGTGAAGTAGCTCCCATTTCAAAAAGGTTGGTGACCCCTGGTATAGGGTCTTGAAAGTAGTTCACACCTTCCAGCGCAAAACACGCTGGGAAAGGCAGTTTGTAGACGCTCCCTAATTATCACCCAGATTTTGTAAAGAAGGAAAATTGTATAGCTAGCCTTATTCCTAGTAACCTTACTTCTTTTTTTTTTACTCCTTACTTGAAACTACACAATTACATAATTTCATATGACTTATTTTAAATAACTATTGTGTCAGTATGTTTTTAGGGATCTCATTTAATGTATTACTTCTATACATGAGCACTTTGTTTTTTTTTAACTATATTTTCTGTCATTTTGCTTATTGGCTAAAAGTTAAGGGATGCATCAGATCCCACATGTGACTAAATGCAGCTGAAGAAATAAAAATAGTTTGAACTGTTCAAATATTTTCATGCTCTGAGGAAAATATATTGCACAGCGTAACATTGATTTAGGATGGCTCTCTGACTGTGGTTTTGTGCAGTTAAATTGTATTTAATACGGAGGATGAAGGATCATTGTATTTAACTCATGTGTTTGTAACTGGGAAATTTATCACGTTGTTTTGGTGGGTTGGGGAGTGAAAGCGGATCACCTGAGGAGTATGAAATCACACTCATAGCAGTGTGAGGGCGTACGGTGGGGTGGGGGCCCTGGGTGCTGTGACCCTGTGGCTCTATGACCCCGCAAGAGCAGCTGAGTAAATCGAGAGGGATATTTTAACTTTGCTGACCAAACTTCTAAAACACACACTCGCCTCACTATCACCTCCATCGTGGGTCAGTATCCAGTAACCCCCCCCCCCAAAATGTCCGCAGTCATTTCTTTAGGTTAACAGAAGTTTCGGTAAGCATTCTAGAGAAAGTCACTTTATTTTTTTTGTGAGTAATCAGCTTTTGGTCTGATATAAATTCCCAGCGTTGTCGAGGCATTACAAAATACCCGCGTTGCCGGTATGTGCTGATGACAACAAAATTGAAAAGAAAGGTCGTAATAATTCTGAGCAAGTTCCTCCGCAGAAGGTATCGATTATTTGTGTGTGGTGAGAGATTTGGAAAATTCAATTAAAGGAGTTGAGCAAAGGTTTCATAAATTCTCCACCTTCGGCCCATACAGAGACATTGTAATGCCCTAAATCAATGTTGTACTTCACAATATATTTTCTTTGGAGCATGAAAATAAATAACATTTAAACAGCTCTGCTTACCGCAGAAACTAATTTTATTTCCTCTAAAGCATTTAGTCATGTGTGGGGCTCTGACTGGCCCCCGCATCTTCCAAGCCACGACCCATTTTATTGCGGTTCGTCCATAAGAAAATCCTATATAATATGAATTTTCAGATGACGAAACGGGAACAGAGGGGACAGATCAGCAGTATAGAAATTGATTAGTTAATAGACAGAGGCGTGTTTTGAGAGATTTGTATCGTACCCTTAATAGGTACTGTATTAAAGCAAGGTTCTTAAAATATATAATAAACCAAATACGATTTTAGTGCTTTTTTTATACCCTATACTATGCGGAGGATCCCAGTATCTGGTACATAAATTTAGAGCAGTTTGACGTGAATGGAGCCGTTCTGGTATTCTGGTGTTGAAGGTATAGCTGCAGTTAAAATGGCCGTCTGCCATGCCCTTGGAAAGACACCACCTCTGATGCTTTTTGGCCACAAAGGCAGGCCCGTCTCGTTCGTTTGAGGCGCCTCAATGAAGCGAGGTTGCGGGCTTGTCCACACGCTAACGCTGTACTGTGAGTGCGGCCCTCGGCGAGGTCCCCTCCGACGCCAGGCCTGTTGGATGGAGAATGAATCGCATGCCTCTGATGCTCCGCAGGTCCCGGAAGGCCGTCAAGCTCCTACGAATTCCTAAAATCAATCCTGAACTGAGGAGTAATTCTGCGCCCTCTGATGTAAGTACTAAAAACACCAGCCCCCTCCCAGCCCCATCTGCCTGCGTTAAGCAGCAGATTATTACATGATTAAAAACATTGATTATTTTTATAGTTTGATAATTAGTTTGCACTGGAGCTGAAGCAGAGCAGTTACAGGCCTAGTGCCAGGTGCCATGGGGATGCCCAGTCCTGCTGGAGCGTAGGGTGTCCTGCTGGAGCGTAGGGTGTCTTGCAGCAGCACTCTCTGCTTGCTAAGCTTCCGGAAGGTTCTCCCGCCACGTGGCAAATGTGGAATCCGGGTGTGAGATACACAGACCCTGCCGATCGTGCCGCTTGGAGGGTGAGCTTTGGTTTTGAAATGATTGTTTATTATAATATTATAATTATTTTCCGGCAGAGGCCTCCCACCTGTCCTGACAAACCTTTATGGTTATATTAATGGTTATATTAATGCTGAATGCACAGCCCTGCAGAATTTTTTGTTCACCCCCAGGCTAATGCCCGCGGCTTGGCACAGGGTGAGATTTGGCCTGAATACATAAGCGTGAATACGAGGGGCTGTGTCCAAGCGTGCGAGCCGGCCCCTTTATTTGGCAGTGCTTGGGGGGGGTGGGACCTATGCAACAGCTGGTGCTGCGCTGTAACATTTCCCATTTCTGCTCAAGGTGGATCGTATAACTCTCACTTTATCACCCTTGGAGGCCATGTGAAGGACAAAAACATACACCCATAAACAAAACTAATGTTTTTGTACAGCCCCTCGGGGTGGGGGGGGGGCGGGGTGTAAATGGACCTTGCCAATGAGAACAGCGCCTGCCCCCCCTCCTCCCAGCAGCACCTTTGTGACCCACGAGGGAGGAGGGACCGATGGCTCTCCCGGCCTGTCTGCAGAAGCCACCAGGCCCTTCTCCGGAACAGCTCTGCAGCACCCAGGACCACACCCAGCCATGCTCGGGCTCCTCTGGGCTCCAGGCAATGTCACCTCCCCCCCCCCAACCCCGATTCCACCATTTCTAGTTGAAATAGATTTTTTTTTTAATGCCCATCATTAACTTCCAGAAAGAAGCATAAGATTGGTGTGGTATTTCAGTTTTATGACACCGTGTCTGCCGCTGTCCTGCTAGCACACACCCCCTGCGTGGATGCTTCTGTATTTACCGCTCGTAATGAATATTTTATGATAATAAATGGCTTTAAGATATTAATTAGTGTCGGTTATATGACTGTTCATTTGCAGTGTTGACTTATTTCGCCATGGACCAGCGGGGAGGGTTTATTTAGACAGATTACTGAGGAGACGACCAAAGGTGCTTTTTAATGAAATTCAAGGTCAAATCTGGGGTCACCTGAATAAAAAGAGGAATGCTTTAAGAAAATGTATTTAAAAAATAGTATCAGACCTGCAGACCCTGATATGTAGAACAAAATTGGAATGAGCGACGCTTCCTTTGAGGATTATTTTGCGGACCGGACCTGGCCCCGGACACGGATAGTCCTGCTGTGTCTCTAGCGGGATGAGCCGTTCAGTTTGCTTTCTTCTTGCTGCTCCTTCGCGGTACATCCACCAGCTGTACAATGCTGAAGTACACGAATGCCCCTAGGAAGTGGGCATAGGTCAGCGTGGAGACCAGCACGGGGAACAGGTCCGGAAAGCGGGCCGGCGCGGCCAGCACCGCGCTGGAGAAGGTCAGGGCAGCTATGGCAAGGACGGAGGAGGCGAACTGGGGAAGGAGAGAGAAAAGGGGGGGGGGCTTTTAGTAACATTTACAGCATTTGGCAGGCACCCTTAGCCAGAGCGACTTCCACAAGTGCTTAGAAGTCTCATCAGTGAATACATCTATCAGCCATGAAAAAGGGTGGGGGGAGGAGGGCCGCCATTTTTAGGAGCGGCAGTCGGTGGGGGTCAATAAAACATGGCTGCCTCGCCTCATCTTTTACACCAGCTTGTCTTTAAATATGTCCGGGTTGACCTGCGTGAGGAACCATCCCCATATAGAGCAGGCCTGGCCGGCCGGTCCCCGAGACGTGCGACACCTACTCCCCATCTGACGAGCGAGGAGAAGGTCAACCCTGGGAGGCAAGCCCCAAGGCGCCCACAGAGCGGGCCCAGCCTCAGGTCATCCGCGGTGCCGCGGTCCAGCAGAGAGAGGAGGTGCAGGCCGAAGAACAGGAAACCCAGGGAGGTGACGATGTACGGCAAGAAGAGGCCATCTTTGAGGAGGAGTGGGAGCATGCTGGGAAAAGAGCAGGGCGGGGCATCCAAGTCAAACGGCAAATTCATGCACTGCAACATAACTCACAAATGTCTGAGAACGAACCAATATGGAAACAAAAACAGTGTTGCTGAGCAATGAAAACTGCCTATTTCATGGTGGTAATCTGTATGGATTACTTTATTTAGATCATTTTAGCAACTTAATTGATCACTAGCTAGCTAACTAACTTTGTTTTTAATTGTGAAAAGAAAGCTAGATTAGATCTTCGATAGATTAGATCTTAGACACTTTTTTCCTCGCTGACAACAACCCATGCAAGTCCATTTAAACTCCGTTGACGTCTGTGATGTGAAGTGTGTCTCGTTGCATTGTTTTGGATTTATTTGGTAAATTAGTTTCTGAGAAAATGCTTTTTTTTTTCCCCCCATTCAATTCATGTTTTTCATTGGCCAGTCAGGATAAGCAGGACGCCGAGGTAATGTGGGGGTGTGCGAGGGGACACGGCTACACAAAGCATGTTTACAGGAGGCTGATCTATTCCCTGCCCCGCAAAGTGTCAGCAGAAAGCAGGGGAATTATATATATATCACTGGCGACTGTCGCCCGCTTTCTTGTTTTTATTCCTGCTTATTTCAAAAATACTACACCTATCGGGCGGGAATCGATACCAACTCCTGTCCGCTTTGACTTTCTGAGCCTGTTCTGAAATCCCAGCAGGGTTCGGTGAAGGCACAGCGATGTCTGCTGCTTATTACCGAAGTTATACTCATGATAAAAAAGCAATTAAGCAGAACACTAATTATTCATAAATATTAATAACGGAAATATCAGGGGTTTTCCAGAAGGGGGCAGTAGCGTAAGCTCACCTGAAAGTAGAGGCTTGTAAAAACCAGACTGACACCAGAGGCAGTTCGTTCATCAGGAGACACACAGGCCTGGAATGAGAAGCCAGTGAATTCCGGACCATTTTAAACAGATTTACTTACCTAGCAGGCACTTTTATCTTAAGTAACACACATTTTTTCAGAATGCAGGGTCAGCCAGTCCCTGGAACAATTGGGGGGTTAAGGGCCTTGCTAAAATGCCCATTGGTGACATCACTCTGCCAACCATGGGATTTGAACCAGCGACCTTCCGGTTACAGGCACAGAATCCTGACCCACTGAGCCACACAGCGCACGGCATAAGATCCCGCATAGTAAATGGGGTCTGCACCCACCCAAACACACACTAAAAACATGCTGATATCACGAGGCCGCATTAAGCAGGGGGAGCATGGGCATTAAGCACCGATGAGCGTCTGCCGCCCTGCACCGACCTGCCCATCACAGCTCTTGCTTCCCCAGCAGAGGCCCCCCCTCCTGGTTCGCTCCTAATCCTGGGACCCACATTACTAGCTGATTCACGGACAGGTGCAGGACACGAATGAAGCAGCAACAGGGATCATCTAGAGTAATACATCGGGGAATCCATATCCAACTCCACAGGCTCCCAGCTGCTCGCTCTTTCGAAGCCCTGCGGCGTGGAAGGCGATTATGAGCCCTTATTCCCTCCCCCGACACTGGGCACACACTCTCAGATCCGGTGCCTGCATTTCCACAGCCAGTAATAACTGCTCGCTGCCGGATAGGAGCCGGGTGATGGGACTCAGCCCAGCGGGGCACGCAGAGGTTAATCACATGGAGAGGGGCTGGAGTTCTTTGACAGATTGATCAATCCAAAAAAAAAATAATAAAACTGGCAGGTTTGAACTTACAAGGCCGCCAGGAGGATGGACTTCTCATGAACTTGGTAAGAGAAGAGGAAGAAGGCCAGGGAGGAGTTCACCTTCAAGGAGGACGGAGAAGATGGCGTCAACCAGCGGACCGTGAGAGTGACCGGAAGAGACGGCAAGATGGTGAAAGTGACTCACCAGGGCAAGTCTGAACTGCCAAAAGGTGGGTTTGGTGAGCAGCTTCACAGAGGAGGGGGACACAGCTAGGAGGGTGGCAGCCAAGCTGAAACAGAGCGACACAAGGCTACATGGTCAATCTGAGGTCAACATCGGCACTGAAATCATGACTTTGCGCTTCACTCGCTGAATGCTGGCTCCAGACAGTTTTGTTAGTGCTGTTAAGGTTGCGCCCCTAAATTTCAAAATTCTAAATGTGCCACATATATCCCACCAGTAGGAGGTGCTAAAAAAAGCAGTAAGTGGATATATCCCATGTGATTTAAACCCGCTCATACTGTATCACCAAGGAGCCTTGTGTGACCCAGGCTGCTGGAATCCTGCTTTTACTCCCTGAAGCATCAAAGAGCTTGGGGGGGGGGGCGGCTGGGGGGATACCTGAGGTATATCTGTGTCTCAGGGGACAGGAGAGTCTTTATCTTAATTAACACGTTCAAGCTGCACCACGTGTTCGCCACTTTGTCCTACAAACACAAAGAGAGACACAGATCATTTTGAAATTGCATCCAGGCATTTCCCACAGACTTACCGGATATGTATCATGTAACATACACACACAAACACATAATAGCCCAAATAGCTCAGTCAAACAGGCTGAAGTCCCTGTTTCGGTGAAGTTTCTCTCAAGAATTTACCCCTGGGATCACTAAAGTATATCTTGTCTTTCTTAAAAAGAAATCAGCTTTAATGAATGTTTACGTGAGGATCATCCCTTTACCCATGCTGCTCTCTATCACTCCATCATTCGGATTTCCCAAGATTCATTGCAATTAGCCATAATTTATTCAGTCAGATTTCAAACAGAGCGCCACAATTCACACGTATAAATAAACAGACAGATACATACAGTACTTCGCAAAAGTCTTAGGCAGTCAAAGAATGCTTAAGGCTATTTATCTGAGTGGTAAGTTTATATTTGCACATGAGAAAAAAGTATTTAACATTAGAACTTATGCAAATTAACAGTAACAATAAAACGAAAAAATATACACGTATACTGGATGGTTGCTGCAAATTGGGGGGGTGACTTTAGGAGGGGTTTTGAAATGGCTAAGCTGACACATGGACAAATATAATACCATAGTTTTACACCAACCTGAAGATAATTTAAATACGATTGTCTTTGATGATTGCATGGTACTTGTGCATGGCCAAAGGCAGCATGATTACGACCAGCGGGGAAACCCCCCCCCCCCGCTCCGCGCCGAGAGCAAAGCCAATAATCAGCATTGCTGTACGTCGTCGTCTCCCAGCTGAGAGTGTCATAAAAATCCCTCCCGCATTCCCGGGTGCAGCTGCACTTCGCGGCCTGGCGAGGAATTTGCTGCATCTTCACACTGAGGGCCGGCAACTGCGACGGAGCTGCCCGCTTGACGCGCTTCCGGGCGAGTCCGCGTCTAACACCTGGATGGGGCTTTCTGTGGGGGTCTGCCTCTAACCGGCACAGAGGGCCACTGGGGGAACAGTAACAGAGCTTAGCCACCGTGTTCGAATTTAGTTTGAGATCAAAATGAGAGATCGGGGGGGGGGGGGGCTTGCACACAACTGTTCTGGCTATGGCTGGGTGGCTGATACAGCTGGCCGGATATCAGGCTGCCCCCTCGACCCCCTCCCCCCCACGCCTGAGGGCCTGCTCCACATACCAGCCGAGAATGCACCCCCAGGCTGCCGTGTCAGCAGGGCGCCTCACTGGTGACTGGGGGGGGGGGTTCCTCAGCCAACATTTGTTGTCATTGAATTTTTTCAATGTAGGAATCAAATCTGCCTTCAACACAATGGGCATAATTTCCATCCAGGCCCTGACCTCTAACACATTACCGTAGCACCCCCCCCCCTCCCCCGGACAGAGCAACCCTCACTGCCCACGTTCCACGGTTCCCGTGCCAACGTTGCCCAAGGGGCTCCCAAGGACAGCCCGGCATTTTCAGATGCTTTTGCCGTGATGCAGCCCAGGTGGCAGACCGCAGTGCTAATGCGCGCCTCCCCACGGCAATAAAAACGACAGATTTATCCCTCCGTCCTGGGAGATGGAGCAGAA